TAGGTTTCCTAGTGTCGAGATTGGGTCTGGTCAATACCCGACCCAGTTACCCTCTTTTTGGCCTGATTTTGGGTTGGGTCAAAGTCGGGTCAAAACCCGACCCATTTCGACCCGATTTCCAACATAGGGTCGGGTTTCGGCCGGGTCAACCTGACTCGACCTGGCCGGGCCAGGCCAATGAAATTCCTGACATGACCGGGGCAAAATCCTGGGTCGGGTCGGGCCGGCCCGACCCGGCCAGGCCGGTTGCTCATGTCTACACCGAAACGTCAAGATAATTCTCTGCCCGTCTCTCATGTCCTGTCTGCCTATCCAGATCGCTCAGCTACAATAGCTTCAGTGGTCCCATCCCACCACTGCTGGCACTGCCCAACCTCACTGAACTGTGAGACCCCCTATTGTTTGCCCAATCTTACGAACTCATCTTCAAATATCCATGTCTATTCACCACTTGGGCTCTCCTCCCACCTGCACTATCTGTCTACCCTTCTCAAATCTTATGTCTCTCCCTTTTCTAATCTGCAATGGTTCCCGTTTGACTGCTCTGGATGCAGTCATATATCTCACAATCAGTTCACAGAAGGCATTCCCAGCACCTTCACTCGCCTCACCGGCATATACTCTCTGTATGTCTCTCCCCGTGCTGCGCTCCCCCTATTTACCTCTCTGTGCCTCCACGACACTAAACTGCTGCCTGACATGTTACTGATTGTTCGTTGTTGTGCATTCCTAGTTATTGTTTCCCTGCCATATGCTCGTTGCCTCCTACATGTGTGTGTGTGTGTGTGTGTGTGTGTGTGTGTGTGTGCGCGTGCGTGCGTGCGTGCGTGCGTGCGTGCGTGCGTGAGTGCGTGCGTGCGTGCGTGCGTGCGTGCGTGCGTGCATGCATGCGTGTGTGATTGCGTGTGCGTGCGTGCGTGTGCGTGTGTGGGTGTGTGTGTGTCTGTGTGTGTGTGTGTGTGCGTGTGTGCATGCGTGCGTGCATGTTTGTGTGCGTGTGTGTGCGCGTGCGTGCATGTGTGCGTGCGTGCATGCCTGTGTGCGTGCGTGCGTGCGTGTGTGCGTGCGTGTGTGCGTGCGTGGGTGCGTGTGTGCGTGCGGGTGCGTGCATGTGTGTGTGTGTGTGTGTGTGTGTGTGTGTGTGTGCCTATGTGCGTGCGTGCGCGCGCGTGTGTGTGCGTATGTGGGTGCGTGCGTGTGTACGTGCGTGCGTGCGTGCGTGTGTGCGTGCGTGTGTGCGTGCGTGTGTTCGTGCGTGTGTGTGTGCACGGGCTCCACGTAACAGAGACATTTCTTTCAACTATATCAGCTCGGGCCTTGACGTGGTGGCGCAGATGACATGGCTCCAAGACATGTGGGTGCTCTCCCCTCTTCACCACCTCACGTGGCCCTGAATTTACTTTCTGTTGCTTCCCTTGGTCCCGTTTGGCTGCATGCAACATCTGAACTGAAACGCTCTCTCCAATACTGGCTCTGCAGACTCCTCCCCAGCAACAAAGTCTCTGGTGTGATTCCAGCGTCCTTTACTGGGATCCGTGGTCTCAGAAGCCTGTGAGTCTATTCGATCCACCTCTCATCAATGCAACAACCCCTTTCATCGCACCCGAGTGGGTGGGATGCAGCAACAGTAAGCGTTGCGACTGCCCCTATGTTATAGTTAGCTGAATAATAATATGCCCGCCTGCTTCCATAGTCATTTTTATTGGCCTTCTATTTCAATTCATGGTGGAAGAACGATTGTGCGCATAGTATGTATGTATTTTGCACGATCTCGTATCTTCACGCGTCGGGCTGCCTCGTTTTTCCATGCATTCATATGTGTTTGTATGCATAAGTCAGTGCCCTTCATTCTGTGCCCACGTATTCGTGCACGTGTGCAGTGGCCTGTTCATGAGCGAATGAATGCGAGCTCTCCCTTGTATTTGTTTCAATATTTCCCCACCATACCATGCATGTTGATCCTTATTCAGGGATGTTGGAAACAACCATATAACTGGAGCCTTCCCAACTATTATTCTGCAACAAACTAGCCTTAACAAACTGTAAGACATCCATTCGTGGCCTAGAACACAGGCGTCTTAAAACTGTTGATGCAAATGCTGCCATGTAACTTCCTAAAACAACTCCCTGCAGAACTCAAAGGGTAGTCGCTAGTGGAATGGTGATGGCAGGAACTTGGGCAACAACAATTTCACAGGGACTATCCCCCGTGAATTGACCAAGCTTGTCAACCTGCAAGACATGTAAGTTGCACAACTACTTGGTCCACTGCTGCCAAGTGTAGTGGGACTTAAAAGGGATGGAACACAAACGACAGAAAATGGCCAAGTGTGGCATTGACGCGGGGCTGATTATCCTTTAGCAAGGCCGCGATGCTGTATTGTGCTTCACTTTGAGGCTCTTGATACCATTGTCCAGAGATCTCAGGGACAACAATTTCCATGGAATCATTCCATCTGGCCTGCTTCAGCTACCCGTGTTGGAAGAGCTGTAAGCAGCTCTAATATACCTTTTTCATATGATCCTCTATTCTTCCACCTTCCACCTTCAAGTCTTACTCTGAATGAAGGGGTGAAGGTCTGAGCAAGCATTCAAAAGTTATTACCACTCTGAGATGTCAATGGCATTTTGCAAGTACTCTTCTCTATTGCCAATTACCGAATCAGGAGTTTGCATGCCTGCTACTGGCTTTGGAGGTGTCTCCCGGCACCTCGAGTTCTTGGTCTCGTAGAGGCAACGTTGCATTCCCTTTGTGCACTCGCGATTTTCTTGGATTTCTAAATGCCGCATCCAGCCGTCCGTTAAGATATTCCTCCTGCCCAACACAGGGATGTAGCTGACAACTTTCTTTCTGGGGAACTCCCTGAGACTCTCGGTGTCACAACTTCTCTTTCCAGGCTGTAAGAATTTTAACCACTGTGTGCTGCCACCACTTGTGTGTGCTGCCACCATTGTTTCTACCTAATGCCGCGCTTTCGCTGCTTAGCGTTCATTGCCAAATAATCATCATTCACCCCTTTGCACTTTGCAGTAGCCTGGGAGGGAATGACTTCACGGGATCCTTACCAGACTTCTCACGCTGGAACGTCAACTGTGTAGAAATGTAAGCCTCCCCAAACTTTCTCCTCCTTGTTCTTCGCACTGTATAGCATTGCACCCATGGTAAGCAACTGAGTTCATCCCTCTTAACTCATGTCAGCGATCTTGTTGCTGCCTCACCTGAGTTGTAGCTCAGAAACATCAGCAGCAGCAACTTCACAGGGTCTATTCCCGACTCGATCTCCACCCTCACCACACTCGAGGGCATGTGAGTTGTGCCACAACGAGCCGTGATGCCTGCCATGAGCACATGTCTGTAAAGCTATTCCCATTTGAACAAGGTTGATGTCGTGTACAAAAGTCATTGTCGAGCCTTTGCAGTGGCACACAGCAGCCTATGGCAGGAGAATAGTAGCAGCAGCAGCCTATACGCACACGCAGCTACATAATGCTTAAATCCGCAGTTCCAACCAATGTACCCCGTTGCTGTTCGCTGCTCTGCAGTTTTCTCAACAACAACCAGCTGACTGGCACCATCCCTTCAGCCGTCTTCACCATGAGGAATCTAACATACCTGTGAGCCTCATGGGTTTAGGTTTCCCCTTTCTAAGTGCCCATCAAAGGTTCCCATCTCTTCCCAATGGTGCTTCCCTGCATCAGCCCGCACCGCTCTTGCATGCGGTGGTTCTCATCGCGATGTCTCCCTGCCATTGCCATTGCCATTGCCATTGCCACTGCCATTGCCATTGCCATTGCCACTGCCATTGCCATTGCCATTGCCATTGCCATTGCCACTGCCATTGCCATTGCCATTGCCATTGCCACCGCCATTGCCATTGCCGTTGCCATTGCCATTGCCATTGACATTGCCATTGACATTGCCATTGCCATTGCCATTGCCACTGCCATTGCCACTGCCATTGCCACTGCTATTGCCATTGCCATTGCCATTGCCATTGCCACTGCCATTGCCATTGCCATTGCCATTGCCACTGCCATTGCCATTGCCATTGCCATTGCCATTGCCACCGCCATTGCCATTGCCGTTGCCATTGCCATTGCCATTGCCATTGCTATTGACATTGCCATTGCCATTGCCGTTGCCATTGCCATTGCCATTGCCGTTGCCATTGCCATTGCCGTTGCGGTTGCCATTGCCATTGCCATTGCCATTGCCATTGCCATTGCCGTTGCCATTGCCATTGCCATTGCCATTGACATTGCCATTGCCGTTGCCATTGCCATTGCCGTTGCCATTGCCATTGCCATTTCCATTGCCATTGCCGTTGCCATTGCCATTGCCGTTGCCATTGCCATTGCCATTTCCATTGCCGTTGCCATTGCCATTGCCGCCGCCGTTGCCATTGCCATTGTCATTGCCATTGCCGTTGCCATTGCCGTTGCCGTTGCCATTGCCATTGCCGTTGCCATTGCCATTGCCGTTGCCATTGCCATTGCCGTTGCCATTGCCATTGCCGTTGCCATTGCCATTGCCATTGCTGTTGCCATTGCCATTGCCATTGCCGTTGCCATTGCCATTGCCGCCGCCGTTGCCATTGCCATTGCCATTGCCATTGCCGTTTCCATTGCCGTTGCCGTTGCCATTGCCATTGCCGTTGCCATTGCCATTGCCATTGCCATTGCCGTTGCCATTGCCATTGCCATTGCCATTGCCATTGCCATTGTCGTTGCGGTTGTCATTGCCGTTGCCGTTGCCGTTGCCATTGCCATTGCCATTGCCCGTCAGCTACTTGGCCAACAACAATCTGAGTGGCAGTCTGCCGGATGCCATCAGCCAACTGGAGAATCTCGAACAGATGTGAGCGTGCTATGTGCCTTCTCCTTTCTTTTTTTCGAGAACAGTGGTAGCTTAAGAAGCAAGCACAGGCATCACAAGCACAAGCTTGTAATGAATCGTTACCACAAGAGATCTAGCAACTTCCACACCATGAAATGAACACATGAGACCAAAACACGCAAGCATCACCTGCGCCATCCCCACTCCACCCCCTGCTCTTTATGCAACTGTTGCCGCCTTTGATCCTGCCAATGCTCTTCTTGTCACCACAGCTGGTGGGACAACAACAAGATTGAAGGCCCTCTGCCAACTGGCCTGTGCTCACTTCGCTGGCTGTGGCGCCTGTGAGTGGCAGTCATACACTTATTGTTTGTTTTGTTTTTTAGAATTTTGTCTGCCGGGATTTACTTCTCTCCTGTTTCCATTATTTTGGAGATTGTTAGAATGTCTTAAGTAGTTTCGCTTTTGTGTGTTTGCCTTTTCTGTACGGGTGTGTGTCTTACGATGCGGCATGGTGTGTGCTGTGCTGCTGGCAGCATGGTTAGCAACAACTACCTCTACGGACCTCTGCCAGACTGCCTCTTTGACAAGTGCATCAACGAAATGTGAGCCAACCATGCATACTCTATTCTCAGTACCATCCATGACATCTCGCACCCTCAACATAGGCATTGCACGAACTTCATTATCTGACTTAGGTCTGCCTCAATATCAGCTCCGACCAAACACTCAATATCATCTTCTACCCTCCGTGATTCCTCTGTGCTTCCCGCAGTGATGTGAGTGGTAACAGCCTGTATGGGCGCATCAACCGCAACTTTGAGAACATAGTGGCGAATGGCAATGCGCTCATCAACCTGGCTCGCAACTTCTTCTTTGGTGACGGGGCGCTCTTTGCTGCGGGCTGCAAGGTCTGCCCCACCGAGGTCAACGAGCCAAACAACAACGGCATGTGGGACACCACTGCATGGCGAATCTATGGTGGCAAGTGCGGCAATGTCGCTCAAGGCTTTTCCGTGGTGGAGCCAGGCAAGAGGGCGAGGGTGGCCCTGTCGGGCAACTGCCTGACGCTCACCCCGAACAAGAAGTGTGTGTCCAACGCCACCCAGCGCAGCACGGCAGCCTGCCAGGCATTCTGCAGCATCACTGCCAACGGCCCGTGTGACGGCCACGGGGCATGTGTGCCGCTTGCCCCCGCCTCCCCCACCAACTTCACGTGCCTCTGCGATGCGGGGTACACCACTGTTGACTCCGGCAACGGCTCCTCCACATGCGCCATCGTGCACTCCACCACCAACACCACCACTGGTAACCCTTGCTTCATTCTTACAGCTCCACAGCACTGCCTCATTGCTATGTTCTGCAACAATAACCACGTTTCATGAGGCTTCTGCGATACACACGTTTATCACCGCCCCGTGTCCATTCCTCGGCAGTGTCATCTCTGTCTACGGGTGCCACAGTGGGCATTGTTCTGGGCGGCTTTGCTGGCTTCACACTGCTGGCTGCAGTGCTCGCATGGCTGCTGTGGCCCCGCGGACCAAGTGAGCCCCTCAACCCTTCTTCAGTTCCATTCCATCTCCCCCATTGCTGCACCTATTTCCTGCCTTCCTTCCCTGCTCCCCACCTCTCCCAAATCCGTGCACTAAAAATCTGCCCCTCCACTGCCCTCATGCCCTCTCCCTCGTGTACACCCTCAGTTCCCTCACTCCTCTTGTCTGGCGCATTGTGTGCGCACAGAGAAATGGGAGGGTTTGGATGTGTGTGAGCAGTTCTCGCTGCAGCAGATGCTGAGTGCCACCAACAACTGGTCCGAGGACAACGTGCTGGGCAAGGGTGGCTTTGGCGTTGTCTACAAAGGCCGCTCGCCACAGGGCCAGCTGTGGGCCATCAAGCGATCCACCATCATGACCAACGACTTTGAAACGGAGGTCAGGCACCATCATCAAGCGTCTAATCCGCTGCATTTCGCCTTGCGAGAATACGTTACTCTACGTTTTCTAAATCGCTTACCTGCAATTCATTGCTTGCCTGTCTATGCCCATGGCTATCTTCCTGCATTGCGCTCCATGCCCATATTGCAGGTGCGAGCCATGGCGTCTCTCCACCACACACACCTCGTGCGCCTGCTGGGCTTTTGCCTGGACCAGAACGTGGAGACGGGCAAGCAGGAGCAGATCCTCGTGTACGAGTTCATGGCCAACAGGGACCTACCACATCCATGCCACCGATAGTGAGTTGCACTACCACATCCATGCCACCGATAGTGAGTTGCACTACCACATCCATGCCACCGATAGTGAGTTGCACTAGCACATCCATGCCACCGATAGTGAGTTGCACTACCACATCCATGCCACCGATAGTGAGTTGCACTACCACATCCATGCCACCGATAGTGAGTTGCACTACCACATCCATGCCACCGATAGTGAGTTGCACTACCACATCCATGCCACCGATAGTGAGTTGCACTACCACATCCATGCCACCGATAGTGAGTTGCACTACCACATCCATGCCACCGATAGTGAGTTGCACTAGCACATCCATGCCACCGATAGTGAGTTGCACTACCACATCCATGCCACCGATAGTGAGTTGCACTAGCACATCCATGCCACCGATAGTGAGTTGCACTACCACATCCATGCCACCGATAGTGAGTTGCACTACCACATCCATGCCACCGATAGTGAGTTGCACTAGCACATCCATGCCACCGATAGTGAGTTGCACTACCACATCCATGCCACCGATAGTGAGTTGCACTACCACATCCATGCCACCGATAGTGAGTTGCACTACCACATCCATGCCACCGATAGTGAGTTGCACTACCACATCCATGCCACCGATAGTGAGTTGCACTAGCACATCCATGCCACCGATAGTGAGTTGCACTACCACATCCATGCCATCGATAGTGAGTTGCACTACCACATCCATGCCACCGATAGTGAGTTGCACTACCACATCCATGCCACCGATAGTGAGTTGCACTAGCACATCCATGCCACCGATAGTGAGTTGCACTAGCACATCCATGCCACCGATAGTGAGTTGCACTACCACATCCATGCCACCGATAGTGAGTTGCACTACCACATCCATGCCACCGATAGTGAGTTGCACTACCACATCCATGCCACCGATAGTGAGTTGCACTAGCACATCCATGCCACCGATAGTGAGTTGCACTACCACATCCATGCCACCGATAGTGAGTTGCACTACCACATCCATGCCACCGATAGTGAGTTGCACTAGCACATCCATGCCACCGATAGTGAGTTGCACTAGCACATCCATGCCACCGATAGTGAGTTGCACTACCACATCCATGCCACCGATAGTGAGTTGCACTACCACATCCATGCCACCGATAGTGAGTTGCACTACCACATCCATGCCACCGATAGTGAGTTGCACTACCACATCCATGCCACCGATAGTGAGTTGCACTACCACATCCATGCCACCGATAGTGAGTCGCACTACCACATCCATGTCACCGATAGTGAGTTGCACTACCACATCCATGCCACCGATAGTGAGTTGCACTACCACATCCATGCCACCGATAGTGAGTTGCACTACCACATCCATGCCACCGATAGTGAGTTGCACTACCACATCCATGCCACCGATAGTGAGTTGCACTACCACATCCATGCCACCGATAGTGAGTTGCACTACCACATCCATGCCACCGATAGTGAGTTGCACTACCACATCCATGCCACCGATAGTGAGTTGCACTACTACATCCATGCCACCGATAGTGAGTTGCACTACCACATCCATGCCACCGATAGTGAGTTGCACTAGCATGACGGCAAAATGGTTGCCAGTCATTTGCTTTTCCTGCAGAGGCACTCGTACATTTATGTGCTGTGTTCGGTATTCGTGTTTCATGACCCAGATCCGCTCTCGCTACGCCAGAGGTTGCGCCTGGCACAGGGAGCAGCAGAGGGCCTGGCATACCTGCATGGGTTTGACACTCCCATCGTTCACCGCGACATTAAGCCAGCGAACATCCTTGTGACTGCCGACATGCAAGCCAAGGTGGCTGACTTTGGGCTACTCAAGCGCCTCACTCACGGTGATGCTGATGCCACTCGGGTGGCCGGCACTCCGGGCTATGTGGATCCGGACTACAACCGCACAAACGTCATCACGGCCAAGAGTGATGTGTTCAGGTCAGCATGCAAGCTTGTTCCTTTGTACAGCATGTTATACTTGTGCAGCCTTGTTGATTTTTTTTTTCCAGGTTATGTTCAATAGTTGTACCCTGTGCCTCTCCATTTTCTGCCATGTTTGTTCCTATTTCTCCAATGCATGATTGCTGGCAGCTTTGGAATTGTGCTCCTTGAGTTGCTGAGTGGAAAGCCACCCCGAGTCGACGCAAAAACGCATATAACTCATATAAGCTTATGGGTATGCTCGTCAAGTTTATTAGTTTGCAATAAAACAATAATACGAAAAAAAAGCTGCGATAACTCAAATCCGTGTCTGACCTCATTATTCCATGGCCTCGCATTCTCCTTATTTCACTTGCATGTTACTTTTCACGACCTTTCGTTGCTCTCATGCTGCCTTCCATCACCTGTCGTGCTTATCATGTTGCTTAGTACTGCCTCTCCCATCATCACCCTTCCTTGCGGGCATGCCCTCCAGGCAATGAAGCTGGTGGAGGCGTATGAGCTAGAGGAGCTGAGGGACAGCAAGATGTCGGCGGCAAGTGAGGAGGCGATAGTGGACTTTGCAGACCTGGCTCTGGACTGCATCAAGTCTCCCGGCACACGGCGACCCACCATGAAGGATGTGGCATACCGCCTCAGTGCCCTCATTGCCAAGCACTGCCCCGACAAGGAGGACGAGTGGGAGAGTGGTGCGAAGGAAGAGAGTGCAAGCAGCGAGGGTATGTCTTCAAGGGATGCTTCTGCTGTGTCTTCAAGGGATGTTTCTGCTGTGTCTTCAAGGGATGTTTCTGCTGTTTCTTCAAGGGATGTTTCTGCTGTTTCTTCAAGGGATGTTTCTGCAGTTTCTTCAAGGGATGTTTCTGCTGTTTCTTCAAGGGATGTTTCTGCTGTTTCTTCAAGGGATGTTTCTGCTGTTTCTTCAAGGGATGTTTCTGCTGTTTCTTCAAGGGATGTTTCTGCTGTTTCTTCAAGGGATGTTTCTGCTGTTTCTTCAAGGGATGTTTCTGCTGTTTCTTCAAGGGATGTTTCTGCTGTTTCTTCAAGGGATGTTTCTGCTGTTTCTTCAAGGGATGTTTCTGCTGTTTCTTCAAGGGATGTTTCTGCTGTTTCTTCAAGGGATGTTTCTGCTGTTTCTTCAAGGGATGTTTCTGCTATTTCTTCTAAGGGATGTTTCTGCTGTTCCTTCAAGGGATGTTTCTGCTGTTTCTTCAAGGGATGTTTCTGCTGTTTCTTCAAGGGATGTTTCTGCTGTTTCTTCAAGGGATGTTTCTGCTGTTTCTTCAAGGGATGTTTCTGCTGTTTCTTCAAGGGATGTTTCTGCTGTTTCTTCAAGGGATGTTTCTGCTGTTTCTTCAAGGGATGTTTCTGCTGTTTCTTCAAGGGATGTTTCTGCTGTTTCTTCAAGGGAGCGTGAGAGGTCTGATGGCTCACAGTCTGGTGTGAGCTCATTCATGCACATTGGCTCGATAGGTGATGGCTTCAGGGGTTGGCTGCATTTGAAGCCAACCAAAGGGCGTTAAGTTTGCCACACAGTGACAGCATGTGGGCGGTGCATAGCATGGAGCTAGAAGTTCAGAATGTGAATAACAGTACTGCCAGAGAGTAGGGTGTTACGTGGTAGCGATACAGAAGTTTATTAGTTCTCGGAAACTTTTATGCAATAACCAATTACGGTACCAGTATAAAGTACGGTAAATGGGAGACGCAAGAAGCACACAAGGAATCTACACTCTCAGGTGACAAATGCAGGCACATACCATACAGTACTGGTAAAAGATGCGGAAAGATTTTGGCAAACACCATGCATGAGGTGAGAGCAAGCCATACCAGTACCTACGTTCATTGACTGATACTGGAGTGCTGCAAAGGAGAATGGCAAAACATGACAATTAAAGATTAAGGACGGAGTCTATGAAAATTAGGCGCCGAAATAACACAGAATCACTGGTCTCAATTTCTGGACAGAATCGTCGACTTCACAAGAAACGTCATCGACGAAAAATTCACCGTAAGAATTGTCAAGATAGCAAGCAGGAGTGAATGAACTAGATGAAAGTTGGGTACAAGTATGAAACCCTAGAGGGGCTATACCCCATATTGGCTACCCCACTACAGCCTACAAATATACAACACATATATAATTTGACACACCCCCATAGGCAAAGTGGGGGAGAGCAAGGGGTCACAAGACCAGTCAAGTAAAGCAAAGCAAGCTCAGGGTGGATCACAACGTCACCACATACACTGAGCACGAGCAAAGGGCCACAAGGCCAGTTCATATGCAGAGGTATATATGTAGCAATAACAGCACAGTGATCACTACCTAGCAAAAGCAAGCATGCAGGTATATATATAGATCACAATACAAGCAAAGTCTACAGCAAGTGCAAAACGTAGGCACAAGGCCTAACAAAGTACAAAAGCGCTGATGATCACCAGACGGAAGTGCCTTGGTGAATATATCAGCAGTGTTGGCCCGAGTGGCCACGTGAGCAAGACGTAGCTGACCTCGCTGCTGCAACTCTCAAGCCAGGAAGTAACGCAGAGCGATGTGCTTCGTTCTGTGCTCCAGTCTGTGCTCCTGACACAAGGCAATGGCGGCCTTTTTGTCGACGTACAGCACTGGAGGAGAACGAGGCTGCTCTCCCAAGTCCGTCAGCAGGTAGGTGAGCCAGCGTAACTCCTGTGAAGCCATGGCTGTGGCGTAGATCTCAGCGTCACAACGGGAGCTGAGAACAGAAGACGAGCGTGTAGAACGCCAAGAAACTGAACAAGAGCCAAGGCTGAAGGTGTAACCCTGTGACGACCGCTGCGTAGCCTGGTCGTCAACCCAAGAAGCGTCTGAGTGCCCAGTGAGGACAACGTTGCTCCGTCCTCCAAGCACGAGCCCCATGCCCCATGTGCTGCACAAGTAGCGCAATACCCTCTTAGCAGCATCCATGTGCACCTTTCGGTGCCGGCTAGGAGCCACGTAGCGAGCCAGAAGGCCAAGAGGGTACGCAAGGCTAGGACGAGTGCAGGTCATCAGGTACATGAGGCAACCCACTAGCTCTGGGTAAGGACCACTCGGCTCTACGGACTCGTCTGAAGGTGGAGCTGAGAGCGAGTGACTTGTTGCCAGAGGAGTGGACTGTGCCGAGGACCAGGTGAAGCCGAAGTGCTGAAGGACCTGCTGCACCATGTGTGACTGAGTTAGTGTGATGGTGCGGCGTGCTCTGTCCCGGGTGATCTGCAAGCCAAGGTAGCTACGCAGCTCACCCAGGTCTGTGCACGTGTGTCTCTTCTGCAGCTCCGACTTCACCAGGGCGAGAGCCTCAGTTTCAGCAGTGGCAAAGACCAAGTCGTCGACGTACACGAGGATGTAGAACGGCGGCAGCGAAGTGTCGGCGCGCAGAAACAGCGACGGGTCAGCAGTCGAAGGAGCAAACCCAAGAGCCGCAAGTGAAGTCCTCAGTGTGTCGTGCCACCCACGAGGCGCCTGGCGGAGACCGTAGACTGGCCGCCGGAGGCTCCACTGGGTACCAGAAGGTAACGACCCAGTGAAGCCAGGTGGGCGGCGCAGCCAGATCTCCTCGTGCAGGCTGCCTTGTAAGAAGGCTATGCTGAAGGCCCCCTTCGTCCTTCCACTGCTCCACAGCGTGTTCCCCTGGTAGCGCTGAGCGCACCACTCGCGTAGCTGCTGTCGCGAGAGAGGCGGCCGCTGCAACGCAGCACCAGGAGGACCGCCACGAGACTCAGCACCCCCAAAACTAGCACCTCCAGCTCCAGCAGTACCGCCAGTCCTGACAGCTCTAGTACCTTCGGTACGAGCACGTCCAGAACCAGAAACACCAGTACTCGCAGCGTCTCCACAACCACTACCTCCAGCAGCTCCAGCAGCAGAAAGAGGGAGACCCAGAGGAACACCAGCAGATTCAGCACCCCCAAACCCGGTACCCTCTGGCTCAGCACCCCCAGGCTCCGCACCCCCAGACGCAGGGCCCCGAGCAACACCGCCCCCAGCAGCACCAGAGGCAACCGGAAACGTCCGCAAAGGCGACGAAGACGGTCGAGGTGGAAAACCCAGAGGGGTCGCCAAGCGTGGTGAGCAGCGGGGGGGCACCGCGGGGCCTCCAACTCCAGGGTCGACAGCACTAGCTCCAGGGCCTCCAACCCCATTACCTCCGGCAGCAGCACCCCCAGCAGCAGGACCACTAGTCCCAGCAGCACGACCCGTAGGAACGCCGGCTGACTCAGCACCCCCCGACCCGGCACCCTCCAGCTCAGCACCCTCAGGCTCCGCACTCGTAGGCTCAGCACCCTCAGGCTCCAAACCTCCCAGCACCTCACACACAGGCTCAGCACCCCCAGACGCAGCACCCCGAGTAGCACCACCCCCAGCAGCACCAGAGTCAACAGTAGCCGGCTGCAGAGGCGGCGAAGAAGGTCGCGGTGGGAAACCCGGAGGGGTCTCCAAGCGTGGTGTGCGGCGGTAGGCCGCCGGGGCGTCAGCAGAAACGTCACCCCCCTCAGCTAGGCCAGAGGTGTCGGAAGTGACCTCCAGAGGCTCAGCCAAAGGGAGTGGGTCTACCTGAGACACACCTGAAGGAGCGGGACCCTGAGGGGGGAGGGGGTCTACCGGAGGGGGACCTGGAGCGAGAAAAAGCGGCGGGGGAGGAATAGGGGCAGTGTGGTAGGGGAAGAGACGGTAGAAAGGAACCGACTCGTCAGAGGTGACGTCCTGAGAGGGGAAGACGCGGCGAGAGGTGGGGTGGTAAAACTGCCAGCCAGACGCGTCAGGGACAAAGCCAAGGAAGACACATGGAATGGTGCGGGAGGAGAGCTTGTCCGCAGACGTATCGCGGACAAGGGCTCGAGCACCCCAGACTCGGAAACGCGACGCATCGCCAACCCACGCAGGGTGGGCGAGGTGTCTGGCAAGGAGACACGGGGCCAGAGGTTGAGCTGATGCGCTGCGTACCGGACCGCAAACGGCCACAGAAAATGGGGAGCCGCTGCATGGATCAAGGAGGTACGAGCGATCTCCATGACCAAGCCAATGCGGCGCTCAGCAATCCCATTTTGCTGCAGTGAGTCCGGAAGCGTGAACGACTGCTCGATGCCCTCCCTCTGACAGAAGGTCCGCAAGAGGTCGGAGGTGAACTCACCACCTCTGTCAGAGTGCAGACGCAGGACAGGAAGGTAAGTCCGGAACCTCCGGCGGAGCTGGAGACGAACTACGCGGATCCAAGGGATCAAGACAGCAAGGACCTCACCCTTGGTGCGCAAAGGGAAGACCGTGGTGTAACGCGAGTAGTCGTCGACAACCAGCAGAAAGTACTGCTCACCGCCCTGTCCACGAACGCGGGCTGGGCCCCACACGTCCAGGTGGAGGGTCTGTAGGGGAGCCTCTGTCGGGGGAAACGAGGAGGAGTGAGGAGCGGCGTGCTGCCGCCCCTCAACACAAGGAAGACAGGGCGGCGCAGGCGAGGCAGGGAGGGGAGGGAGAGACCTGGGAAGACTAGACACAAGGAGGCGACGGTGCATGCCACGTAGACGTGGCAAGGAGGGGTGACCCAGACGGTGGTGCCAGAGAAGAGTCTGGTGCGACAGGGAGCGACACTCACAAGGGGAGGCTACCAGATCTGACGCAGACACCTGACCGACAGCAGCGACCTGAGGAGACACAGTCGTCAGTGTGTAAAGACTCGACCCTGGCTGACGGGTGAACGTGGCCAGGTGACGGCCAGTCTGTGCACACGTGCAGATCGCCACACGCTGCCATGCAGGGGTGAAGATATTAACCTCCACATCCTGAAGGGCAGTGTTGCTCACCAAGTTCGTAGAGAACGAGGGGATGTGAAGACCTGACAGTGAGCCAGACGGAACCGCCGGGCACGGAAGTACAGTGGTGGACCGTGCAAGGACTGGGCCCCCTGAGGGGTCAGCCAGAGACACTGCAACAGGTGCAGGGAGTGGTGTGAGTGCAGTACTGTCACGAAAGAAACAGCGAGAAGCACCTGAGTCAAGCGTGAAGGTGTGCAAAACCTCAACAGGCGCAGTACCTGAGGGAGCAGACTCACTAGCACCTAAGGCAGCAGCCTCACTAGCACCTAGAGCATCAACCTCTATACCGGGGTCGTACTGCACACACACGTAACAGTCACTCTCAGCACCACCAGGCAAAGGAGACATGGCAGTAAGGATGGCGTCATAGTCTAAAGCAAAGACATCAACGCCCGACCTAAGCAGCTTAAGCCAGTGGGGTGTCTCAGCCTCATCGCCAAACTGTGCGTGCCAGGCGTGAGATAAATAGGCGAAGCAGCGGGACTGTTCGTGACCAGGAGTCCCACATGTCTGACCAGCTCAACGACCTGTGCGAATGACGTACGAGCAGCGACCAGGACTCGGAGACGTCCCACGCTGGTCAAGCCACTCACGAAGCTGCCGGGACGTAAGGGTCGGACGCCGCTGTAGCTGCATCCGGCCACCGCCAGAACCTCCCCACTGAACAGCTCCACAGCGACTGCTACTACGGCCGCCACCACTCACACTGCTGCCACTACCGCCGTCACCACTCCCACTACTACTATGAAGTGAAGTCATAGTGGGTAAGCAACGAGGCGCGCGACTAGGAGGCGGTACGGAGGGAAGACGGCAGCACCTCCAGCACTCCTAGTCGTACATCCACCAGTAGCAGCAGTAGCACGAGCAGCAGGGCGAATCGGGTCGGGTAGGGCGAATCGGTTCCGGTAGGGCGGCTCGGCTCGGCCTGGGCTGCGCGGGCGGCAGGGCGCGCGCTGTGCAGGGCAGCAGAGCGCGACGCACGAGCTGCAGCAGGGCGCGACGCGCAGGGCAGCTGTGCGCAACGCGCGGGCTGCCGTAGGGCGCGACGCGCGGGGTAGCAGCGCGCGACGCGCGGGCTGCCGTAGGGCGCGACGCGCAGGGCAGCAGCGCGCGTTGCGCGGGCTGCCGTAGGTCGCGACGCGCAGGGCAGCAGCGCGCGTCGCGTGGGCTGCCGTAGGGCGCGACGCGCGGGGCAGCAGCGTGCGACGCGCTGGCTGCCATAGGGTGCGACGCGCAGGGCAGCAGCGCGGGCGTAGGGCAGGGGGCTGGCGCAGGGCAGGGCGCTGGCGCAGAGCAGGGCGCTGGCGCAGAGCAGGGCGCTGGCGCAGGGCAGGGCGCTGGCGCAGGGCAGGGCGCTGGCGTAGGGCAGGGCGCTGGCGCAGGGCAGGGCGCTGGCGCAGGGCAAGGCGTTGGCGCAGGGCAGGGCGCTGGCGCAGGGCAGGGCACTGGCGCAGGGCAGGGCGCTGGCGCAAGGCAGGGCGATGGCGCAGGGCATGGCAGGGCGTGCGCGAGGCAGCGCGACGCGGGGCAAGGCAGGGCGCGCGCAGAACAGCGCGATGTAGGGTAGTAGGGTAACGCGGTAACCGCAGTCGGTCGCTAAGTATGGTGGGCCCGGAAAAAAAAACGGTCCTATGGACCTACTGCTCTGAAACCATGTCAAGATAGCAAGCAGGAATGAATGAACTAGATGAAAGTTGGGTACAAGTATGAAACCCTAAAGGGACTATACCCCATATTGGCTACCCTAGTACAGCCTACAAATATACAACACATATATAATTTGACAAGAATCTCATAAAAACCAAGTATGTTGTAGGTCTAGACTGTGGCTACAATTCCAAGTTTAATTACGTCAAATGGTGAACTAAATCGTGAGTTATGTGTTTCGGAGCACAGGGGGGTATGCTGCCATAGAAAATTAACTCAACCACAAGAGTCTCGCAAGTTTACACAAGTTCCACACAAGAGAGTTAGAGTAGCACATAAACCAGGCAGGAGGGAAGAGGAGGACGAGAGGGAAGGTCCCAAGGAGTCCCCAACCAAGGAAAACCCCATACCACACAATTCCCTTCCCCATAGGCAACCCAACTTTGACCATTGTCATTATCCCAACCTCCCAAATCCACCTCACCCAACTTGGCCACACTTGCCAACCTGGTTTGGCTCCACCCAACCACATGGCAGCATCTACAGTGATGGGGCCGAATTTCCCAACCCCAAAAGGTCTGTACCCCATATAAAGTCAACCCCACAACTTCCCACAGTCGCTGCAAATATGAAAAGCATACGAACTCCAACGTCGCGACGATTCTTGGCTCGTCGGAAAGCTCTTGTGCAAATGAGTCACTTCAGATATCTGCCCAATTCAAATAATATTCACAAACACTCAGGAAATCCAAACCACACCAAACACAGATTCTTGCACACGCTCACACCACGCATGCAACCCACGAATACATGATGGGAGGCAGACCGACGTGAATGCGAATGGTAGCATTACACAACAATGACAACCAGCCAAGATGGGTGCTGGATAATGGATTTAAAATATGAAAACATTCATTGATAGAGCCGTTGGCTTGGCACTTGCATTTGCAACAATGTTAGTTTAATACTCACTCGCTATCAGTCATGGCAGTGGATGGAAGGGACCACTCAGGCTAACTGCATGACTGAAGCAAGTAGTGGAACCCGTGATGCGAGTGAGCAAGGGAATTCCAGCGACTTGCCAGACGCGCAGCAGGAGGATTGCCTCAGAAGCAGCCCATGATGCTTGTGAAGCAACGGTTTGTTATCCTCCTCACTATTGTCATCACCGCTGCCATTGTCACTGCTGTGGTCATCCCTGTCAGTTATCTTGTAACCATGGTCAATTATCTAGGATCAAAATGTCCGCATCTTGTCCTTTGCTGACACAGCAGCAGCAGCAGCACCAGCAGCAGCAGCAGAAGCAGCAGCAGCAGCAGCAGCAGCAGCAGCAGCAGCAGCAGCAGCAGCAGCAGCAGCAGCAGCAGCAGCAGCAGCAGCAGCAGCAGCAGCAGCAGAAGCAGCAGCAGCAGCAGCAGCAGCAGTAGCAGGAGCAGGAGCAGCAGCAGCAGCATTAGCAGCAGCAGCAGCAGCAGCAGCAGCAGCAGCAGCAGCAGCAGCAGCAGCAGCAGCAGCAGCTGCAGCAGCAGCAGCAGCAGCAGGAGCAGTAGCAGCAGCAGTTACAAACATACGCATAGATTGTGATACCTTAACGAAGTGGGTCGAATACTTGGTCTTCAGACGGGTGAATTCCTTCTTGGTTTTTGCTCCCTCCATTTTCTTGTACACAGCTTTCTGATCTCGCACGCTGCGCGGAACGATCTCGTCATCCACATCATAAAGATTATCTTTCGTAACCATGCAGATGGAGCAAGGTCAAGAGGAGCTACATGTCATGGTGCACTCGAGATGGTCGTTCACGAACGAGTACAGCAGCGGGATGGCCACGCACTCAACCCCGTTGCTGTCCTCGACCTTCAAGCCCCCGCTGCACGACCAAACATGGAACCATGCCATGTTGGTGGCTTTGGAGTGAGGAGATCCGGGCTGACATCATGGAATGTTTGTAAGAGGTTATGGCGTTACGGCACCGAAATAATTGAGGGACGGATGAATGGGTATTAACAATGCACACCAACAGGGGTAGCAATTCTAATATGCACTCAATATACCCCCTCACACAATACATGGCAAGGATGCTCCACAAACGTACAATGCACAAAGCTACACATCTGCGCATGTTTGAAGGAGAGAAGTTTAAGGGAAGCGTACCCGCGGAGCTTGGAAAGACGTTTCAGAGGCTGTAGCATGTATTCCACCGCCAGTTGGAACAACCTAATCTTTTGATCTGGCTTCAGGTCCGAGGAAATGTTAGGGAAGAGCCCCAACAGCTCGGTGCCGCCTTCCAACCAACGCGCCCATTCCAGCGTGTTACCGAATGACAGAACGAAGGGGTGTGCCAATTGCCTGCCATTGTTAGACAGTTTCGTGCTAAACCCCCCTACCAACCCCACATTGTCATGGATGTTAATTATAACCCTTGTGCCTACCTTACCTTTGATATGCTTGCACCTCGCCATTGATATCTTCTTGCCCTGTCCTCCCGTCCATTTTAGCTTCGTTTTGTTGAGGCGCGGGACTGTATGTGCATGGAAGCTCCAGACCATGCCATTGACTGATACCCATAAATTGATCAGCGACTACAGGTTTTATATGCCGTCATCAGTGAGAGACATATCATTACAAACATGCAGCTGAAGGAGAAAATGAAGGACCAGAGAATCATTGTGGCTCGGACATCATTGGAAGAATGAACAGGGTTTCCAAGTCAAGCGCGGTGTGCTTGAGTAGTTCTGTGTGAGGGTGGAAGGCCTGCGCACAGCTGAAATCACTCTGGGGACAAAGAGGAAGAAGAAGTTGTGGCGCAAATACCAACAAAGTGAGTGTTGATGGTCGTCTATCCCGTTGCAATAGTTGTAATACAATGTGTTCTTCCTGTTGCTCCTTCCTTTTGTCTAGTCTGCTCGCACTTTCATTACCCTAAACCCAAACCCACCTAGTCATGGTCACAAACCCCTCTGCCCTGTCTGCTCCACCTCAAGAAGCTAAAACAAACCCGTCTGCCCTTCCTGGCCCACCTCAGAACGCTCAAACATACCCATATACCCCACATGCCCTACCTACACCACCTCATGTTGCTCAACCCAAACCCCTTTGCCCTGCCTGCATCACCTCATGTTCCTCAACCCAAACCCTTCTGCCCTGCCTTCCCCACCTCGTGATGCTCCAACATAACCCGTGCTGCCCCACCTTGTCATGCATGCGTGTAGGAGGGAGGGAGCGGTTGAACTCGTGTGGGAACAACAAATCAGGGCTCGTTTTTTCCAACGCCCGTTTTGTCAATGCGGTGAAGGCTTCATTTCGAGTTTACGCTGTGAGGCGACTAGGGATGAGCAAAAAAATGAACACCTGTTCGATTCGCCTCGAACGTGTTTGAGGCGAACCGAACAGGTTAAATTTTTTTGCTTAAAATGTTCGCCTAACAGTGTTCGAGGTTCGCCCGAACACGTTCGTGTTCGGGCCGCTGCTGTAACTCGCCCCGCGACGAACACGAACGTGTTCGAGGTTCGCCCAAACACGCCTTCATAGGCGAACGGCGAACACCTGTTTTTGCTTAAGGTGTTCGCCGAACCGAACAATGTTCGGTTTGCCAAACAGGGGCGTTCGTGCATGGGCAAACGCGGACACGTTCGTGTTCGCCCCTTGCTCATCCCTAGAGGCGATAGCTGGCCCTGAAAACTTACTACATAGTGTGGTCGCTCATGGTGGTGAGACCGTTTTTTCAGTTTACATTGACTTTTCCTATTGCCTTGTAGTTTCTACCTTGGTGAACGCCATGGCACCCTGGGGGGCTAACACTGTAAACCCTTACCGCTGCCTTCTTCTTGGTCCTTGGAACCCAACCAAACCCTTTCCAGATTGATCAAGGCTTGTCGCGCGTCAAGAAGACTGACATGGACCTCTCGAACTCCCACAGGAAAAACAGCGCATGGATGACGAGTTTGAGTCGGGGTATGCCATTTTTTTAAATCACTTTACCCACCACACCCCCGTGTACAACGAAGAGTTGCAGGGCTTCAAGTGCGCACGCGAGGGCTTTATGTACACGTGTCAGGGTTCGAGATGTACCGGAGGATGGCCCAGCTTGATGACGACGAGGAGGAGGAGGAGGAGGAGGAGGAGGAGGAGGAGGAGGAGGAGGAGGAGGAGGAGGAGGAGGAGGAGGAGGAGGAGGAGGAGGAGGGGGAGGAGGAGGAGGATGAGGATGAGGAGGAAGAGGAGGATGAAGAGGAGGAGGAAGAAGGAGAAGAGGAGGAGGAGGAAGTGGAGGATGAGCAGCAAGGGAGTAAGGCTTGGAAGGAAAGCAGAAGCCTGGGATGCAAGAGAGAAAAGTGATGGACTAGCAAGACAAGGGGGCTTCCAGGGCCGCAACATAGAAAGGCAGCAGGGAGGCAACACAGAGACAGCAGGGGAGGCAACTAAGAAAGGCAGCAGGGAAGGCAACGTAGAAAGGCAGCAGGGGAGGCAACTGTGAAATGCAGCAGGGGAGGCAACGTAGAAAGACAGCAGGGGAGGCAACGTAGAAAGACAGCTGGGGAGGCAACTGTGAGAGACAGCAGGGGAGGAATCACAAAACGCCAGCAGGGTAGGCAACTGTAAAAGGCAGCAGGAGAGGCAAATGTGAAAAGCAGCAGGGGAGGAAACGTAGAAAGACAGCTGGGGAGACAACTATGAAAGGCAGCAGGGGAGGCACCTGTGAAAGGCAGCAGGGGAGGCAAAGTAGAAAGACAGCAGGGGAGGCAACACAGAAAGACAGCAGGGGAGGCAACGGTGAAATACAGCAGGGGCGGCAACACATAAAGGCAGCAGGGTAGGCAACCATGAAAGGCAGCAGGGGAGGCAAGTTTGAAAGGCAGCAGGAGAGGCAACGTAGAAAGATAGTAGGGAAGGCAATGGAAACATAGAAGGCACCAGGGGAGGCAACTGTGAAAGTCAGCAGGGGAGGGAACACAGAAAGGCAGCAGGGTAGGCAAATGTGAAAGGCAGCAGGGGAGGCAACGTAGTGTCAAAATCCTAAGGTTAATGCCTAAGGAATTCTGACAGAGGGTGTAGCGAGGAGAGAAAAAGGGGAAAAACCTGTACATTTGTATATGGATGGCACCGAGAGATTAAATCTCAGGCAGGGCGGTGGGCTGGGCGAGTGGGAGCTGCGCTGGCAAGGTTGGCCGCTTGATAACGTGTGTATGGTGTATGAATGCGGGAGGTGTGGTGTGCATGGGGGTGCTTTGTTTTCTCTTGCAGACACCGAGTCCAGGGAGGAGCTGGAAGGCAGCAACGCCAGCTGGAGGCAGGCAGGATGGCTGTATGGATGGCAAGCTAGGCAGCCCACCAATGGAAACATTGTTAGACTAGCCTAGCTAAGGTTGAGTAGGGAAGCTTAAGGTAGGGCTCTGGGCCATGGGACTGCCACTGCGTGTTTGTTTTCGTGAATTCCTGCAATATTCTTTCAAGATAGGCAGTGCACCACGGAGCCATAACTGCAGTCAGGATGAGATAGCAAGGAGCTTAGTATACAAACACGCAGTCTATGCAAGTAAGGTCTGGACGGTAGTTCGAGGCGGTGACGGCGAAGACAGGGCAAGCAGATGGCGAATGAGGAAGGGAGCAACCAGGCGACAAATCAGTCACAAGAGATGGGAAGGACTGAGGGGCGGAACGGGCCCGCGAAGGAGCGAGTGGACCATAGGTGTGAGGATCTAGGATCGAGCTCAGAAAAGAGAATTGTAATGGAATGATCACCTGGGTACAACACGAGGCTATATATAGGCTCGACACAAGGCCCCGTAACCAGGTGTTACGCGAAGGTTCCGCGGGTCGCGAAGCGTCCCGAACAGATCCTTCCCGAATTCGGTAGAAGGCAATTCGGTGGCAACCGAAAAGCCAGAATTCGGTGCACGCAACCTAGCTCGGTGCTATAACTATAATAAAGTATAGGAAAGCACCTAGCCTAGGAAATCAAGCAATTCATGCATGCATATAATTATCCTATGCTAGAAATAGCATGATAAAGTAAAGGCAAGCAAGCATAGCTGGCATAAGCCGTCGTACTCGCACACGTCCCCCCCTCAAAGCTGGGTGGCGTGAGATACACCCTGCTTGACAAGATAGTCCTTGAGAGCACGGCGTGCGTTGCCCATATCAGCTTCTGCAACCCAACTGTCCTCAGTGGGGTCGTATCCCTTCCAGCGTATCAGGAACTCGAGGGTCCCGCCGCCGCGGCGCCGATGAGAGAGGACGCGCTCAATCTCGTACTCGGTTTCGTCCTGCACAAGAACAGGTGGAGGTGGCGGTAGCTGCCGTCCCTGGAACTGTTGGTTGGGGTCCTTGTAGGGTTTCAGTAGCTGCACATGGAAAGCATTGTGAAGCTTCCACATATCTGGTAAGCGCAAGCGGAATGTAACTGGTGTCACCTGTGCCTCAACGAGAAAAGAACCACAGAAGCGAGGCCGGAGTTTGGATGGGAGGTGAGACAGGTTCAAGTTGCGCGTGTCAAGAAGCACCTGATCTCCGACTGCTACTGAGTGATCACGTCGCTGGCGATCGGCATACTGCTTCTGGGAGGTCTGCATCGTGGTGAGTCGTCGCTGAGTCTTCTCCCATAGCTGCTGCATGGTGGTGACGAAGTCATGTGCGGCTTGGACGTGTGCCGGTGTGGTAGGCTGCTGTGGTGTGAGTGGTTCCCGTCCGTAACACAGGAAGAAAGAAGTTTTCCCTGTGGCCGCATGTGACGCGTTGTTGTAAGCGAACTCTAGGGTCGGTAACTGTGTGTCCCAGTGGCTGACGTCGTCCTTGCAAGCTGTGCGCAGTAACTGTTCAACCACTTGATTGAGTCGCTCTGTCTGTCCGTCAGTCTGTGGGTGGTATGCTGAAGACATTGGAAGCTTTGTCCCCAACAGTCCCATGAGCTCCTTCCAAAACTTACTGGTGAATTTTGGGTCTCTGTCTGAGATGAGTGTAGCGGGGATGCCGTGGATGGTGATGATGTGGTCGAAGAAGAGGCGAGCAGTTGCTTCTGCTGTGGCGGTGGCGTTGGTCGGTAGGAAGTGCCCCATTTTGGATAACTTATCGATGACTACGAGGATGAAATCATGTCCCCGTGAGGTCGAGGGAAGTCCTGTGATGAAGTCGAGACTAACGACCTGCCATGGCTGCTCCGGTACGGGTAGAGGCTGAAGTAACCCTGCTTTCTTCTGCTTGCTGCTCTTCATCCGCTGGCACGTGTCGCAGGAGGTGACGAACTGCTGCACATCTGCTGCCATCCGGGGCCAGTAGTAATACTTCGCTATTCCCGCTAACGTCTTGTTGCTCCCGAAATGTCCCGCGTATGGTACGTCGTGGAACTCCTCCAATAGGATCTGCCGTAGCGGGGCGTAATTCGGTACCCAAATCTTTCCTGAACCCTTCCTTACCGCTAGGTCTTTCTCCCACTGTAACAGTTTCTGTTTCTCTGCCGTTGCTATCTCGCCGTCCACGGAGTACCCATGTTGGAATAGACCTTTGAGCAGAGGGTTCATCCCGTCGAGTTGGATGCCTGCTACATGACCTGGGCGGCTCAACGCGTCTGCTTTGTTGTGTAGCCCGGGCTTGTAGATGATGTCGTAGTGGAAGTGGGTCTCCAAGAAATCCACCCACCGTACCTGTCGTCGTGAGAGCGTAGGCTGCGACTTCAGGTATTTGAGGCTGCAGTGGTCAGTATAGACTGTGGTCTTGGCTCCCTCGAGGTAACACCTCCACGCCTTGAAGGCTACGACTATAGCTAAGGCTTCCTTGTCGTGGATGGGGTAGTTTAGTTCTGCTCCGTGCAGTTTCTTACTGAGGTAGGCGATAGGCTGTAAACCGTTCCCGTGATCCTGCATCAGTACTGCTCCGACTGCCTGGTCACTAGCGTCTGCTTCAACTACGTAGTCCTTCTCGGGGTCTGGTAGGATGAGTACTGGGGCTGTGGTCAGTGCTGTCTAAAGCTGTTCCATGGCTTGCTGATGCGGAGTATCCCATTTGAAGGGCGTATCCTTTTTCAGTAGGTCGGTCAGTGGCGCTGCAATCTTAGCGTACTGTGGCACGAACCTGTTGTAGTAGTTGGCGAATCCTAGGAACTGCTGCAACTCCTTCACGTTCTCCGGAACTTTCCACTTCTTGACGGCTTCGATCTTCCGCGGGTCCACGTGTACGCCCTCGGCACTCACCATGTGCCCGAGAAACTGCACCTTCTTCAGGGCGAAGTCGCTCTTTGACAGCTTCACGTAGAACTTGTTTTTCAGCAGGATCTCGAACACCTTCCGCAGATGCTCCACGTGCTCCTTCATGTTCTTGGAGTAGATGAGGATATCGTCCAGGTACACCACTACGCACTCGTCCAGCAGGGGCCGTAGAATATGGTTCATTTCCGCCTGGAACGTTGCTGGTGCGTTGCAGAGTCCGAACGGCATCACCAAGTATTCGTAGGAGCCGTATCGAGTACGGAACGCCGTCTTGTGGATCGAGTTGTCCGCCATTTTGATCTGCCAGTAACCCGACCGTAGGTCCAGCTTCGAGAAGACTGTTGCACCACGCAGTTGGTCCAGTAAGTCATCGATGCGCGGTATGGGGTATTTGTTTTTAACTGTCTGTTTGTTTAGTGCGTGGTAGTCGATGCACATCCGTAAGCTGCCGTCTGGTTTTGGAGTGAAGAGAACTGGTGCACCGTAGGGAGAGGTGGATGGGCGGATCAGTTGTCTGTCCAGTAGATACTCTATCTGTTTCTTCATGTCTGTTAGTTCGGTCGGACTCAGTCGGTATGGTGCACGTGAGACGGGTTTCGCACCTGGTTCCTCCACGATCTCATGCTCGTGGGTGCGTGCTGGAGGTACGCCTGCAGGTAGGTCGTCGGGCATTATATCTTTGTACTGCTCTAAGACCTCCTTCACTGCTGCAGGGAGCTCGGAACTCGGCTTCTCCTCCTCTGCTGCTGCCATGACCAGTGCTAGGTAACCCGTGTTACTCTCGTTTACTGTCTGTTCGAACCGTGCCAGTGTCGTCTCAGGTACGTCCCCTGTATCCGTCCAGCTTCGTAGTGCTATCCGCTTCCCGTTGTTGTAGATGCACACCTTGCTGTTGATCCAATCGATCTCGGGGTTGAACCACTTCAGAAAATCTCGCCCCAAGATAAAATCTAACCCTTTGATGTTGGTGACTGGTAGCTTCGGCTTCCACCTCAACGCACCTATATGCAGCTGCAGTGATGCTTCGCCGTGGATAGGAAGTTTCGTACCGTCCACCATGGTTGCTGAAAACTGGGTCTCCTCTGCCTTCTCTCCAATTTTCTCCAATGCTCCGCGGTCACACACCGAGTGAGATGCACCGCTGTCCACCAGTGCCTGGAGGCGTCGTCCATTGCATAACACCTCGAGGAGTAGTGGTTTCTGCTGCGCTGAGTAGCCAAAGAGGGTCTCATTAATAGGATCATAGGGTACATCAAACTTAATACCTTCCCTTTTTCCGATACCCGACTCAGCACTTTCCAACTTCACCTGGGGGGTGGGAGGATTTTTCCGAGGCTTGTATATTTTCTCCTGAGCCTGGATGCCTCCTCTAAGCCTTGGCAGCTGTGTAGGCTTCACCTGTGGGCAACGGGGAGCCTTAACACTGTGCTGCGGGGAGAGAATATTAACTCCACGGAACGCACGACCTTTTTCTACGCTCCGTAGTACTTTGCCCAACTTCTCGGGTACCTGAATGATTTCTAAAGGCTTTTTCTTAGCCTCTAAACCTCCCCTGATTTTTTCAAAGGCTTGAAAACCACGAGAAGCAATATTCTTCGTTAGAGTATCTTTATAGGATACTTTTAACGAATTCTTACTTTCGTGGGTGTTCGGCTGGAGTTTCCCGGTCGGTGCAGAGTCTTTTTTCGCGGAGCCTCCATTCGCCTCGGCGATTTCCCCTGATGCCGGCCGGTCGTGACGTTTTTGATTCGCGCCATAATTTTCTCCTTTTTTCGCCCGCTCCGAAGTCGCCACGTCGTCGCCTTTTCCTGCTTTTCGGATCTTTACGCGATCGCCAGGTCGATCCGCGGCTACTGGCGATTCCCGTTTTTTGACTTCGGGGGTGCTCCACTGTTTCCGTCCCGGAGTGCCGCACGTGCTTTCTTCATTTTGTAGCACGACAAAAACTGATGCCCTGCTGCGCCACAAAATTCGCATTTTGTCGGTTGCTGCTTCGCGTCGTATTTGTCGATATCCATCGGTTCGGCGAACGTGGGGGGTGCCGATCGCTCCGTGCCGAATGTACGGTTCGGCGTGAAGCGTCGTGTTTCGGGTTGACCTCGAGTCAGCGCGTCGCATCGCTCGGCAGCACGCACGATGTCCCTGTAGCTGTTGTAATTCGCCGCAATCACCTGCCGCCGAATCTCCATTTTTAACCCTTCGGTGTACGCCTGGATTTTTTCGCCTTCGGTCAGGTCGGTGATGCGGTTGAACAGTAACTCCATCTGCTGCGTGTACTGTGTTACACTACTGTATTGCTTGTGTCGGTGTATCTGCTGCCGCGCCATGTAGGTCGTATTAATTGGTTCGAAACGCTCGATTAAATCTGCCCGAAACTGCTGCCACGTTTTCTCCCCGCGGGCTACGTCGGTGTAGTAAATCCATTCGAGAGCCGGTCCACGTAACAGTGTCGCTGCGAGCCAAATCCTTGCTGCGTCGTGTTGCGGGGTCGAACAGCCAATGGCCTCGAAGTAAATTTCGAAGGTGGCCACAAATCGCCGGACGTCGGATCCCTTCGCGCTTGGATCGAACGCCTCAGGGAGCCTCGGTCGTGCTGCTTCGAGGTTCGGCGACAGTGGTGCCATCGGTCCGTGAAATGTCGGTGTCGCCACTGCTGCTGGAGTTGTCGGTGCTGCAGTCGCTGCGGTCGCTGCTGCTGCGGTGGCGAACCCTGGTTGGCTTGTCAGAAAAGCCTCGAGTCGACGAAGCGTCGCCTGCGTCTGCTCCATGTCGGTGCGGAGGCTCGCGATGTCGCTCGTGGTCGCGTAGTTGTCGCCTTGGCCTTCCATGCCTGACATCAACGCGTCCGAAAAACCGAATCGAGGGGGAGCGAAAAACACGGAACCGGTTTTACGTACCCGAAATCGATGTTTAACTGCGTCGCCCCCGCGGTTTTTTGAAGACTGGTTTGTAGTGGTCGAAAGAACTTCGCGTGTAAACGGGCTCTGATTACCAAGTGTGAGGATCTAGGATCGAGCTCAGAAAAGAGAATGTGAATTGAATGATCACCTGGGTACAACACGAGGCTATATATAGGCTCGACACAAGGCCCCGTAACCAGGTGTTACGCGAAGGTTCCGCGGGTCGCGAAGCGTCCCGAACAGATCCTTCCCGAATTCGGTAGAAGGCAATTCGGTGGCAACCGAAAAGCCAGAATTCGGTGCACGCAACCTAGCTTGGTGCTATAACTATAATAAAATATAGGAAAGCACCTAGCCTAGGAAATCAAGCAATTCATGCATGCATATAATTATCCTATGCTAGAAATAGCATGATAAAGTAAAGGCAAGCAAGCATAGCTGGCATAAGCCGTCGTACTCTCACAATAGGGCGGCGCTCGCACTAACTTAGGAAATGGCAAAAATAACGCATTCGGGGGATCGGAGGAATGCTTGCGAAGCCAGATTCCGGTGCGCTCACAGCCCGGGGGACTGAGCGGCTATCAACGGAGCGCCTCGTGGCAGCGTACGGAAGGTGAGACGATGGTGTAGCGTTGGAAATATACGCTGGTGAGGCTGAGATGTACTACATGATCTCGAGGAAAGAACTCCTAGAATGGTCGGCGGGGCGGGCGCCGGGTGCGCGGGACCCGACCTCACGCTTCCTAGCGATGCTTGCAGACAGCTGAGAGGGTGGTGGAGTTCAGGGGATTCCGGCGCAGGGAGGGAGAGTTCCTACTGGCCTACTATGGCAGGCTAGTGGAGCTGGGGGAAGTTATGAATTGTACAGTCCAAGGACGGTTGATTGGCAAATTCGTGAATGGGCTAAGCCAGCCTCCGCGGCAGGATGTGGAAGTGCGGGTGTTCGAGATGGGGTCGAAAGCGACATTGAGGGAAGCATATGAGATTGTGAAACGCGTAGAGATGGGGCGGCGACAATACGAGGTAGAGCGGGCGGCAGACAGGGGGCCAGAAAGGAGGTGGCCGGCATGGGCGGCGACGTCAGCCTATCCAGAACTAGAGGAGAGAGGCCGAGAAGAGCCACGCCGTTGTCACAACTGCGGCCTGACGGGGCACCGGCGACGAGATTGTCGGAATCCCGCGGCCTGCTCGCTGTGTGGGAGTCGTGAGCATATGCGGAGGGATTGCCCAGGAGCGCCCATTTGTGCACGCTGCAAGCGGAAAGGACATCGAGAGGCGGATTGCTACACAGGGCGAAGGGAGCGGAGAGGGGCGGAAGGCAGAGAGGATCGGCAAGCCACCATAGAACGTCTGCGGGCACAGTTGGTGGAGTTGGAAGCTTCCGAAGAGAAACAGCCCGCCATGGTAGCACAGGAAGAAGAGGAAGCGGAAGAGCCGGAGTTTATGCTGATGGCACAGCCGGCCCGCGATCGAGACGAGCTGGGATTGCGGAGGGCCACGCGGAGGCAGGAATTCCCCGAAGATGTGCGGCGAGAAGACGGTCCAAGGCGCCGAGCAAGTCACAGTTCGAAAACACCAGGGGCGGCGTATCGACATCCGCGGGAGAGAATGGCCTGCCAAGCCACGGTCCTAACGACAGCGAAAGGGGCGATCACAATTGGTGGCTTCACGGCACAATGAGCAATAGTTGACACGAGGGCCGCGCATGTGCTGATCGGCAGACGCTTGGCGGAAAAGGTGTAGCTGCACAAGCCAGGGCAATTGCGGAAGGCTACCTGCTGATGACGGCAGATGGGGGAGAGGCGAAGTGGATGCCTTAAACCAGGCAGTCTATGTCGTTAATGCTGAATCTGGGAACCACGGAAGAGTGCGCGCTGCGGGTGTACTATGGGGTGTCGGAGTCGGAAGACTTCGATTTGCTCATAGGGGTGGAGTACCTGTTTGGAATCGGAGCCACTATCTGCATGTGGGAAGAGAAGGTGCAGTACCGGGTGTGCTACTAGGAAGATGATGGGCCCATCGGTACACTGCCGGTACGCTTTGTGCGGAGGGAACCAAGAGAAGCTTACCAGTGCATAGAAGCGGAAGTACGCGAGGAGTTGGGCATCCCTACCTGGCAGCAGATCGCGCGATTGTCGACAGCGCCCCAGGAACAGACTGAAGGGGACATGGACCTGAAGGCATTATGCACCAATACAAAAAGGTTGTTGGGACCCACGGTCGTACTGGACCTCTTCGGGGGCATAGGAACAGGGCTGGCGGCGGTACTGAAATCGGGGATAAGCGTGGAGAAGTGGATCCTGGTGGAAAGCGACATGGAGGCGGCTAAGATGGCGGAGCGTCACGCGCACAATCTGCACAAATGATACCCGCACCAAATCTGCTCGGGAACCTTGGAGCAAAGCCTGCTATGCTGAACGTGCGATATAGACCGAATAGACGAACATCAGCTGCGGCAGTGGGGAAGGATCGATATAGTAATCGCAGGATGGGAATGCCAAGATTACTCACGAGCAGGAGCCGGAAGAGGCATGAGGGATGAAAGGAGTAGCTTGTTTCGGGAGCTGAAGCGAGTGCTGGGGATGATAAAAAGGATTCAAGGGGACGTGCTCTACATTGTAAAAAACGTGGACATGGAAGGGGACCTGAAGGAACAGGTACAGATGGCGCATGAGGAAGTGACGCCTGCTCTGGGACCGGGCGTGGTGGCCGACGGGGCGCAAACAGGAAGCAGAACACACCGAGTCCGCCGCTACTGGACGAATTGGGTTAGCGAAGCAGCGCTGCAGTATCGTCTCTCATTGATGGAGCGGCCAGTACCTGCTGGTAGAGGACATTCTGGAACCGGGGAGAATACCGGCATTCGTAGAAAGGCTGGATCATCCAGCACAGTTCCCCTACAACGAGGTGGGAAAGCCGAGGCAGGCTTGGGCACCGAGACGCCGCAGCCTTTAGGATGCACGAGGGACTCCCAGGCCCGGGCATGGTGTAGAGAGCTAGCGATGGGGTTCATGGAGGGCGCTACCGCACACCCAGAAGTAATAGAGGAGGAGAGGAGGAGGGCGCTGGGAAGGGCCATTGATCTTAACGTAATGCATTGGCTAGTGGCCACCATCAGGATGTATCATTCCCAACTGCGATGGGAGCGAAAACGAGACAAGGCAGCAGCGGTACAACCGCCAACGGAAAGGTCAGCAGCGAAGGAGGCCATGGCGCGGGCGATGTTAGGAGAAATCCAGGAGCACGATGAGCGGCAACACGAGCGGGGGCACCCGCTGGAGAGGAGATGGGTCTACCCTTGGGAGGAGGAGGACGAGAGACCGGCAGTGTACGCAGAACAGGAGGAGATCTGGCTACCAGGAGAGCGGGAGGAGCAAGCCGTGGACAAGAAGCGGGAGGAATTCAGCCAGTTGGAAGAGGCGATTGAAAGGCGGAGACGCAGGGAAAGATACGAGCGAGAATTTGGCTGCAGTGACTTCGCTCTCATGGCAGCAACGAATGAGCAAGATCCCGAGCAAGGGGAGACGGGAGACGAACAGCCGCAGGGCGGCACAAAAGCGGCGCAGCAGGCGGCAGAGGGGCCAAAGGAAGTAGAGCAGCCGAAGCCTGAACAGGGACAATCGAAGCGGGAGGAAGGAGCGCAGGAGTGGGTGATAGGGGAAGGCATGTCGGAAGCAGACGCAAGTAGGCTGAAAGAGGTCTTGGCGAAGCATCGGGCGGCCTTCGCTTACTCGCTGAAGGAAGTGGGGAGGTGCAACATGGCAGAGGTCACCTTGGACTTGACGACAGACATCCCAGTGTACCAGCGGCGGCGGCGCATGACAGCGGAAGAGACGCAGATATGCAAGGAGAAGTGTCGGGAGTTGCTGGAGGAAGGGTTCATTAGAAAGTCAAACTCCGAGTACACGGCGTCAATGGTGGTGGTGGCGCAGACGTATCTGACGAAGAAAGTACTCTCCAAGCGCATGTGTGGGGACTACAGAGGGTTGAACAAGGTCACGATCATGAAAAGGTATCAAACACCGATGATGGACGAGATCTTTGATCTGCTGGCGGAGGCGCTCGTGTTCTCCACGCTGGATCTGAGACAGGAGTTTAATCAGATACCCATAGCAGAAGCGGACAAGAGGAAGGCGGCATTCCACGGGCCGGACGAGCAGTACGAGTTTCTACCCTTCGGTTTGAAATCAGCGTCACCAGAGTTCCAACGGGTCATGGATCAGTTGTTGAGGGAGGTGAAGAATTGCGGCATGCTACATTGACGACGTCATCGTGTTCAGCACAGACAGTAGCTCGCACGTGAAGGACGTGGAAGCTACACTGAGCGCCATTCAGGGAGCCGGGCTCACCTGTCATCCCGCGAAATTCAAGTTTGGGCGAACGACAATAGAGTATATAGGATTTGAGGTGGAAGGAGGGAAGATTGGGATTCAAAAGGCAAAAGTTGAAGTGCTAGACCGCGTGGCAACGCCGAAGGACAGAACCACCTTGCAGGTGCTACTGGGGTTCTTGAATAACTATCGTAAGTTTGTGCCGAACTTCAGCAGCAGAGCCGCCCTGCTGAATCAGTTGCTCAGAGAGGACCGACCGTAGGAATGGGGGCCAGACCAGGAAAGGGCAGTGCAGGACCTGATGGGAGCAGTCAAGAATGGAATGGTGCTGGAGCTGCCAAGAGCAGACTTGCCATTTACGCTCTACACCGATCGGAGCAGCGCGGGCATGGGAGCGGTGCTAGCCCAGATGAAGGGGGAGGTAGAGAAAGTGGTAGCCTTCACGAGCCGCAGCTGTAACGCTGCGGAAGCTAACTACCCATCATATGAAGGAGAGGGCTTAGCGGTGGTGTGGGCGGTGAAGCATTTCCGGGTCTACTTGCAAGGAAGGAAGTTCACGCTAGTAACGGACCACCAGCCATTGCTCTGGCTAATGCAGACGCCGGATCTGACGGGACGGAACGCCCGCTGAGCAATGAAGTTACAGGAGCATGACTTTGAGATCAGGCATCGCTCAGGCAAGACCATGCAGCATGTCGACGGCTTGTCTAGAAACCCACCGGAGGTGCAGCCGTCAGCCTGCCTCACGGCAATGGCGAAGGAAGAGGACAGAGGACAAATGTGGGGGGAAAGGAAGGGGGGACCGGCAGACATATGGGAGGACCAAGAAGCCTTGGCATGGATTCAGGGGGCAACCACGGAGGTAGGGGCAGTGCCGGCCAGAGTACGAGCGAGGGGAGAGCATTATCACTGGTTCAAAGGACAAGTGCAGCTGAGAACAGGGGAGGGGTGGAAGCACGTTCCACCCCCGGCCGAGCGGAAGGCATCATCAGCAAAGTGCATGCGAAGCTAGGGCACTACGGACCCGCGCGTACGCAGCAGCTGGTTCAGACGGGGTGGTGGTGGGCAGGCATGCGGCGGCAGGTCAAGGATTGGGTGTGGAACTGTGAGGCATGCTGCAGGAATAGAGCGGTGCTGGAAAGGGAGAAGGCAGAGCTGCAGCCCTTACCCATAGTGAGTCTGGGGTACCGGTGGTCACTGGACATAGCGGGTGAGCTGCGAGTCACCACGAAAGGTGTTGGATGCCATCGGACTGTTCCTTTATTGCTCGCACTCCTGCACTCTTGTCTTCTCCAATCCTTCACTCCTCTTCTCCCCGCTGCCTTCTCCCTTTGCTCCTCTTAGGAATTCCCCGCTTGTGAGGCCAAGCCCTCCTCCCTCGCTGCTTCTGCATACCCAACTGCCTCAGCCACTCGAAAAAGTCACTAACCCATCGACAGTTTCCTCTAACTGGATAGCTAGTGCTTGGAAGAATTGGCACACATCTTTTTAGGAAAACATACAAAGAAGCAGGGTAGGAATTGAAGCTAGCACACTATGTACACAGTGAATCTGGCCTAGCTCATCCTACACCTGCTACCACGCTTGGTCGTGACCTTGCTCCTGCACACACTCACACGCACACAACATTCATCCGACATGCAATCAATCTGACATGTACACCTCAGCCCACCGTATGTACAAGAACAGATCGCAACCGTTCACAACCACCTCGGCTGCACTTCTTTCTCTTGTTGCCTGAACCCCCGCCCCTCTCACTCATCACTGTACTCGCGGTATGCCTGCATGGACTGCTGCAACCTTCCCCTTCTTCCCATTCGACAATTCGTCAGCTGGCTCCCAACCCTCTGCCTGTCCGCGTTACACCCTCCGATTCATTACCAAATACAGTCCCTTTTACCCACCACTTCCATGTCGCATATGATTGCAACTCCTCTTACGATCTTATGCGACAGCTGTCGGATGCCATAGGCCTGTTCCTTTATTGCTTGCACTCCTGCACTCTTGTCTTCTCCTATCCTTCACTCCTCTTTTCCCTGCTGCCTTCTCCCTCTGCTCCTCTCAGGAATTCCCCGCTTGTGAGGCCAAACTCTCCTCCCTCGCTGCTTCTGCATACCCAATTGCCTCAACCACTTGCCCCCTTCCGCGACCAGCCCTGCACCTGCTGCTGGTCTGAAGGAACCTTATCCATCTTGTTCCCCGTAGCCCTTACTATATTCGTGATATGATCACTACGTTGCTTTCCCTTCTCGGATTCAAGCACCAACACCCCTGCACCACCCACCTCTCCGTGGTTAATCCCAAGTCCAGCACGTCCTTCTTAGCCTTCCTCAGGTACACCTCGGTCCCGCTCCCTACGGCCTTGCCATTTCCTGTGCCTATCTGCAGCTGCCTCTGCTTGTACCTTTTGGCGTCCCTTAGTTGCGCCGTGTGCAGATTCTCCAATGCCGTTGGCATGAGCTTCTTGAGGTACTTTGCCCGGCAGTCCGCTAGCGCCGCCCAGCTCTCCGCTGTACCTGTCATTACCACATCGGTCAGCACCTTAGGTGCCTTCACTGGCAGCATCGGTTGCTTGCCATAGAACAGGTAGTAGGGCGAGGAGTCGCGTAGCGCCGCCTGCTTACTGAACCGGTACCCCGCCACCACCCAGTGTAGTTCTTGATCACAATCCTACTTATGTTCTTCCTCGTACGCCCGCAATCCCTTCTTGATGGTCTGGACCATGCGTTCGGTCAGGCCGTCCGACTGCGGATGGTATCTAGACGTCATGCGGTGTGTGATGCCGACTTCCTTAAGCAGCTTGTCGAATGCCCCTATGAACTCGGTGCCCTGGTCCGTGAGGACCTCTCCGCACGCCCGGAACCTCGTCAGATTCTGATCTGTGAATGCCTCCGCGATCAGCTCTGTGCTTTTACTGCTTAGCGCCCGCACCTCCACCCATTTCGACACGTGCTCAATCATAACCAGCACGTAGCGCTTGTTCTTGTGGCTCAGGGGCATTTCTCCTGCCAGGCCCAGCGACCATCGGTATCCTAGTCCCATGATGGGCAAGGACTGCAGCTCTTGCTGCTCCTTCTCCAGTTGCGCTTTGTTTCGGCTGCAGAGTTCGCATTCAGCTATCACCTCCTTCACTTGCCGATGTAGGCCGGCCCACCACCAAGTGGTGACTAGCAGCTGCGCGGTGCGGACGTGTCCGTAGTGCCCCAGCTGCTTGTGCACCTTCTCTATCAGCGCTCTCCTTTCGTCTGGCGCTGGCACCATCTTCCAACCTTCCTTGCTCTGCACCTGGAGCTGCTGTTGGTACCACCTGTAGTGCTGCCCTGGCTTGGTCGCTGATTTCCTCCTCCGCTTCCGTCTCTCCTTTGACCCAACAGAGCGCTTCTGGGTCTCCCCAGATGTCCTCCGGCCCAACTCCTCTGTACCTCGCTACGTCTGCCTCTTGCACTCCTCTCGCCATCTCCGCCAGGCATAGTGCTGGTGTGCTCGCATCCTCTTTTGACGGGGGTGGGTTCCGAGACAGCCTGTCCATGTGCTGCAACGTCTTCCCCGGACGATGCCGGATCTTGAACTCATACTCCTAGAGCTGCACCATCCACCTCGCGTTCCTCCTTGTGAGGGTCTGATTGGTCATCAGCCATGTCAATGACTGGTGGTCGGTAACGAGCGTGAACGGGCTCCCCTGCAGGTACACTCGGAAGTGATTTACTGCCCATGCCGCCGCGAGCCCCTCTCCCTCGTAGGAGCTGTAGTTCGCCTCGGTCGGGCTGCAGCTCCTGCTTGCAAAGGCAACCACTCTCTCGCCGTGTTCTGTCTCCTGGCAGAGCACCGCCTCGATGCCCAAGCTGCTCCAGTCAGTATAGAGCGTGCAGGGCTGGTCTTTTCGCGGTAGCACCAGCACGGGTCCTGTCTTCACAGCGTTCAGCAGGTCTTTCAGGGCTCGCTTCTCTGCCTCCCCCCACTTCCATTCGCTGCTTTCCCTGAGCAGCTGGTTCAGGGCTGATGCTCGCGGCTGAAGTAGGGGACGAATTTCCGATAGTAATTCAGAAACCCCAGCCCCGCTCGCAGCCTGCTCCTGTCTGTCGGCGCCGCCACCTTGTCCAGGACCGCTACCTTTGCTTCTTGAATCGAGAGCGTCCCATCAGATAACTTGAACCTCAGGTAGCGAACTGTGCTCTCCTTGAATCTGCATTTGTTGAGGTGGCAGGTCAGCCCGGCTTCCATGATTGCCCCCAGAACCCTTTCCACGTCCGCTACGTGGCTCGCGGCATCCTTGCTGAATACAATGACATCGTCGATGTAGCACGCGGCGCAGTCAATGCCCCTGAGCACTGTATCCATGGCGTGCTGGAAGATGGCCAATGAATTTTACATTCCAAACGGCATGCCGTTCCAATCCCACAGATCATCCACTCCATGGAACGCCGTCTTCGCTTTGTCCTCCTCGGGTATCTGTATTTGATTGAAACCCTGTCGTAGATCCAACGTGGTGAAGACCGTTGCTCCCTCCAGCTTGTCAAAGATGTCCTCTGGCACAGGCATCGGGTATCGGTTTGCCTTTGTGAGAGTACTTCCCCGGTCATGTCTTTCCGCGCTGCCACCAGCAACTCCTGACATTTCTCTCGGCACACTTCCTCATCCGCCCCGTCATCCACCGCTTGTGCTGGTAGGTCAGCATATCGGTGGTTAATTCGATCCTCATTTCTCCCACCTTGCTCTTGCCCAGTTCTTTAAGGGAGAATGCAAACGCCATCAGGTGGCGCTTCAGCATCTCCTTCATGGCTGCGGCCTGCTCCGGGTTCAATGCCGCCCCTACCTCCCATTCCTTTTCCATTTCTGCTTTAGCGGCGGCTCCTCCTGATGGCGGTTCTTCTGCCCTTCCCGTCAGCACCATGAAGCTCGACATGCAGCTGCGTTTGTCGACTCTGCTCCTTACTGCCAGTGCTTCCTCATCCCCGGGCAGCCATCCCCTCTTTCTGATATGATCTTCCACTTCGGTAAGCCCGTCCAGCTTCTACTTCATGTTGTTCAGCTGCCACTGGGCGTCGCTGTTGGGCCCTGTGTCTTTTGCCCATTACTCCTTCTCCTCTACCTTCATCTCCATGTCCCAAAGCAGCAGTTGTACCTCCGCCGTGTGCAGTAACCACTCCATCACCTGCACGTCCATTCCTTGTCCCAGCGCTCGTGTACGCTCCCACTCCACCACTCCTTCCGCAGCGGTGGCTCCCGGCAGAAACCCCATGGCCAGCTCTCGCTCCAGCGCCGTGGGTTCTCCCCACTCCCCTGTTCGTAGGTCCTTCACCATCCCTGGTCCCGGCGTTCCCTCCCTCATCTGAAATGCGTAGGAACCTGCGCGCGCCACCAGCGTCGGCCACGCCTCTCTCGGCTGGTCGGGCGTGTTGCACGGGTAGTGCGCCGGGTGATCTAGATACCGCACGGGTGCCTCCTGTTGGTTCGGCTCCAGTATATCCCTCACTAGCCTTGATTCTGGCCTTTTTAGCTTCGACAGCTCCAGCCGCAAGCGCCCCTCCGAGAGGCCATTCTGCCAGTAGCGGCGATCCCTGTGCGATCTTGATCCTGCTTGTGCTGCATTCATTGCCACTCCTGGCCCCAGCAGGGACGTCACCCTTTGATACGCCGCTCTGACAGGCTCTCTTGGGTCTGTAGCGAAGTTCGGGTCCTCCAGTACGTAGAGGTATTCCCCGTGAATCTTGTGAATCAGGTGCATCACCCGCACCAAGTCTTCAAACAGGGCCGACCTGTCATCTTCAAATCCGAGCCCATCTCCTGCTCTGGACACCCCCTGGCACTCCCATCCTGCAATCAGCACGTCCACTCGCCCCCACGCTGTTATTTGCGCCTCCAATATCTCCTTTACGTCATGCCCCGCCTGCCCCCAGTTGCCGTCTATCGCTCCGTCCAGAATTTGTCCTGGGTACCTTCGCTGCAGCATGTCTACGCCATTTTCCGCACTCGAGGGTTTGCTTCCACATAGATCCACTTCTCAATCCGCCATCCTGCTTTCAGCGCAGCCGCTAGCCCCGTTCCCAATCCGCCGAAAAGCTCCAGCATTCTGATCGGCTTCTGCAGGATTCGTTTGTTCAGCAGCTCCCCGGGGATCACCTCCTTCCTTTTTGCCCGTGCCTCACGCGTCTCTATCTGCTTCAGCTCCGCTTCTGCCTCGACGTAACTCTCCGGGACCTTGATCTCTGGCAGATTTATGTACCGCCACTTTTCGGCTCGCTGGCTAGGTACTCCCTCTCTCCCCAATTCGAGTCCTTCCACCAACCCCGCGGCCGCCCATCGCTGTCCTTCCACAGAGCCGGTGCGCTGCAGCCGTCCACCTCCAGATTCACCACTGAGCCGTGTAGCGTCTTCCCGGCTGGCTGCGAACAAGTCCTTCTGACTCCGCCGCCTCGGCGGGATGAGGT